GGCGCCGCCGACGCCCTGGACCCAGACGGTGTTGCGGTATTTGGCTTCCAGGACGCGGGCCACGGCGGGGCCAGCGGATGTGCCCTTGTTCTCCTTGTTAGCTCTTCTCGTGATGACCATGTAGCAAAAAGGCTGCGGTTTTTGTGGAGCTCACCATGTTTCCGGGCTCGCCGGTAGCGCGGGCATAGATGAAGATCACGCGGGGGCAAGCGGCGGAGGAGCCGCGCTCGAGGTCATTTCGGCTGGAGAACTGGCGGGCCTCGAGCGCACGAGGTTGCTCATCGCTGACCGGAAGGGCCGAAGCCAGGGCCGTGAATAGCGACAAGAGTGTGTAGAACTTCATTTTGAGGTTTAAATCTTCAAAAACGAGCCGAAATGGACAGGACTGAGCTCAGAGAGGCTAGCAACTGGGTATATGGCGCCTGGCCAAAGATTACCGTAGAATGAACGTATGAAGAGACTGAGCCTCTGAAACCTAGTGATCCTCTCAGGTCGAGGCCGTCCAGGCCATCATACTTATGTCCCCACGACAACGCGAAAAGCAAACACGAACAGGTGCCCAACGCTCGAGATCCGAGCGCAGCTACCATGACGCTGTCACATATCTTGACAGACTTGACAGACGTTGAAATCAATCGAGAGGAGACATGGGAAAAGCAAGGACGACTCCGACGCGCGCACGCGAATCGGGCTATGTGCCCCATCAACAAATTGGGTCATCTGTAGGGCACGGTCAATCAAATTGACTTGCTCGCCGTCAGAGGGGCCTGGATCCTCTCCAGGCTTGTCTCTTCCTGCTCTTCAGCCTCCTCCACCGCGTCTGACAGTACTTCATTATACAGAAGCCGCAATAAAGACGCGAGTCAGTCTGGTCTCTTTCGAGAAATACCACACCAAAGATGGGATGGCAGGTTTCGTGTCACATGATTCGCGACTGGCTAGATCGATGGAAGAGACCGATCGACTACGTCCGTGCTGCTGCAGAACGTCACTTTGGGATGCCAACGTGCGCACGGTTCGCTGCAACACAAGGTGCTGCGTTTCAGGTATCAGGACATGGCTCCCGACGTGGATGAAGTTGCGAGAGTTTCTTTTGGAGAGCGGCGCATTGCCGGATTCGGGCGTGTCGATGGCGACGTGCTGCATCCAGTGATGCTGACGGGTGTCGCCCGGCATCTTCGGATCCCCGTGCAAAGCAGCACCCACGGGCCGTGTGGTTTACGCTCAGGACGTCAGGAGTTCATCCCAGCCCCCATGGCCACGACCGCGTCTCGATCAAAACAGTCTTCTTTGGGTATTCACGCTTTTCAGTCCTAACTTCGTACACACACACACGTTGAACACGGCAATCAACACACTTTTGCCACACATGGATCCGCATCCCACGCTCCTTACTCCAATCCACCAAACACAGAAGGAAAGTCGTAATCAGTATACGCATTTAGCTGCAGATCGAATGGATCCAGCGGCATCATGATGTCTGGGTCTTCAAAAGGCACAGCCAAGCCCGCGGCGTTGGCCTGGTGCGTCGGCACGACGTGAACTGACCCGTAGTGCATGCTGCCGTCGTCCTGCGGGGTGTAGGTGCCGGCAAACGGCGTGCCGTACACCTGGGGCGGTGGCGGCATATTGGGCGTGTTCAATGGGTGCCAGTTGGCGGCACTCGTTTGTGAAGGTGTCTGCTGCTGCTGCTGCTGGGGCGGCGGCGGCGGCGGCAGCGGCTGTTGAGGCGGCGGAAGCTCTGCATCGAATGACGGCGTCGGAGCCGCAGCACGAGACTCGGGCGAGGTCGAATCGACAGGGTCGTCGGCCGGATCGATCTTATCGGGGGCGAAGACATACTTTGAGTGGAAGTGAACCTGTCGATCGTTGGGGCCGCTGGGGCTGGGCAGACTGTTAGAAGACGCCTACTCGTGGATGGGGAGAGGAACTCACGGTGAGACTGACGGGCGGCTGCGCAAGCCCAACGTCGGCACAAGTCTCTGTATGTCGGCAATCTATGATAGTCAGCCAGGACCCCCTTGCAGCAGTCAGACAGCAGTCCACTTACGCAAGGCCGGAGCCAGGTATATGTCTCCTGGATGCGCCTCGCCATGCACAGCGCCTCCATCAGCTTGCCTTTGATGCTCACAAGGCTGTGCTCGCCATGCTCCGGCAGCAGCCAGTACGCATGCTCCACGACCTTGACGCATTGATATAGCGTGATGGTGAGCGTCGGGCTGTCGATCAGACGGTGGGCGTCAAGGTGGTACACCTGCGACCACATGTCACAGAGCTTGACGGCGCTTTCAATGCATGTTTGTTGGCAGTAGGCGATGTACTCCTGCGATGTGGCAGCCATGGCCTCCGGCGAGACCGTCTCCTTCATCCCCGGCACGAGGAACCGGTGCAGGTCGCACCGACACAGAATGAGGGTTGAGTGCAGGATGATGTAGGCTGTCGAGTCGCGCGAGTGGCACATGAACATGAGCCTACTTGGTGTGAGTTGCAACTCGTCGGGGAGGCTCTCTCTGAAGGTTTGCAGCTCGCGGTCGAGGGACAGGAGCTCGTCTTTGGTGTTGGAAGGGCTGGTGCCACTTCGAATGACTCGTTTCGTATATCTGCGCAAGTCAGTCATGTGCAGCGCCACATAAAAGATGGATAGGGCTGCTCACCTGAGGATCCTATCCCGTAGGTCCATCAACCTCATGCGATACGCGATAGCATCCATGTCGGCACCGGAGCTGTCTCCCTTCTCGTGCAAGTACTGCGACCTCGACGCAAGTCCTCGCTGGAAGTAGTAGTCGTTGCTCGGCAGCCGGATGTGCAGCCGGTGTGTCGGGCACACGGCCAAGTCTTCGATGCCACTCGAGAAGATCTTATCGAGAAAATAGATCCCCCACATCAGACGTCGCAGACACTCTCGCCGTACGGGCTCGACAGATGGTCGCTCATAATTGAGCCGCTTGGTGAAGGCCATGCGCGCCGCGACGGACAGCAACGTCCAGACGTCCTCGGTGAACTGCGACGTGAAGCCAAACCTGATGTACAGCACCATGGTCTGCAGCTCGGCGACGGTCGTCGTCCCCAGGTTCGTCAGCATGCCCTTGCGCACCTCCCGCATCCAGGCATGGGGCACTGAGTCGTCATCCTCCTGCGCCGGTCCTATGAGCCGTAGACCCGCAGCGCAGACGGCCTTGAGCAGCTCGTTGTCGACCTTGCCTTGGTTCCAGTCCGCCATCAGCGAGGCCTTGTGCAGGAATGGGCAGTCTACGAGGTCCGTCTTTTCAAAGTAGGCATCCAGGCACTGACGAATGATGTCCTTTCTGTCGAGGTCGAAGACTCTCGGCCGGTCGAGCAGGGCCTCATAGCGCACCGCCTCACTCGTGAAGCTGCCACGGCTTCCCGGCGTTGGGACGGAGCGTCCATCGGTGACGGCGCTAGGACTGGTCACAAGTCCGGCTGGATGTCTCGTAACAGCCGACGCCGATGCCGATGCCGACGACAACGTGTGCCCGTGTCCAATGGGCAGGCTACGGCCCTGGTCGGCGTCGCCATAGATGCACTGTAGGTTGTTGGAAGCACAGCGAGAGCAAGGCTGGACGCCGGAGCACTTGGCCTTGTGCGAGCGACAGGGGACGCACGCGCGGCGTATACGACGGCGCTTGGTACCGGCCTGGGTGAGCTCTTCCTGGGGCAGGTCCTCATCAAGGTCCTCGAGTTCAGCGCTAGCTCCGCCGGCGTACGAGCAGGGTAGGTCGAGACGCTCGCAGCGTAGGCAGCCAGACTGTCGGCGATCACATTTCACCTAAGAGAGAAAGAGCGCGCGCGCGACGGTCAGCAGGTGGTGAGCAGCATGGGACGAACCACGACCATCGCCAGTGCAAGCCACACCATGTGTACACGAGACAACACAAGCCCAAGACAAGGGCAGGCCGAGACAAGGGCAAGCCGAGGACGGCAGGCGGAAGTCGGAGTTCGGTGGAGAGCAACAGGAAAAGGAGCTTACCTTCCGGGCCCGACATTGGCGGCAGGCGAGCGGAGGCTCGGCGGGTGAATGCTGGGGCGGGACGAGATCCGGGGGCATGCGGCCGCTGCCTGTAGAGGAGGGGGTTGTTGAAGCCTGCTGCGGCAGCGAGGGCTGGGTCGAGGCCATGGCTAGGCGAGGGCGTCAGCTTGGACATGCGGCGCGTGTGCCTCGTGGAACCTCAATGAAAGGTTGGCGCGCTCACGGCTGTGCGTGTGGGTTTGTCCAGGAGTGTGGGGAGAGATGGGGGACGTGACGATCGGTTGCATGATCTGATCTCGGAGAGTGGTGCGATGGGTGCATTCGGCTGAATGAGGAGGTCTGAATTGTTGTGATGTGGAGGTTGGAACGAGACGATCCGAGGATGTCGGGAGCCGTGCGATGGTCTCGATTAACACTGCTCTAGCACACAGAATTCCGCTTTTGTACAGTGCGAGTGGCTCCGATCCGACCGTTCCGAGGCCGAGTTCCGTTTCCAATCCCCTCCGTCGTTACACAGACTCCGTTTGACACGGCTGCGGTTCTGCTGGAGCCGCAGCCGGAGAGAGAGCAAGAGACACCACAATGCGACATGACCCCCTCCAGCCTCATTCCCCTCTTCTAAGCCCCCAGAGCACGAGGCTGAGCCACTCGATGCTCCGGAGCCAGGGTGTCAATGACAAGGGCCTCGCATCTTGATGCTGGGGTTTAGGTACATGCCAAATACTGAGACACACTACCCCTGGAGCATTGAACAAACCAGCGAAGCAACTTGACGAGGGCGTACCGAATAAGATCTGCATCTATTGCTTGATGAGCCTACCTTATCCATCTAATTTCACTCCCCATGCTGAGTCCTCGAAGACATAAAGACGCTCCATCGGCTCTGCTTCACTTGGCATCCGCTTCAACAGAGTGGCCGTACGTACTGGACTGGCCACCTAGGTGCCCATGCCATGATACGTAAGGTAGTCTTTGTCCTTGCGAGGTGCGACAACGAACACCACAGATCGCAATGTCCGCCATCCGGCCACATGGGCCTCGCTCCCTCCGTCACATGTCCTACACCGATGCAATTCGCGGTGCAGAAATTTACAATTTCTACCAGAACTGCGTGCTTGAGCAGACCACAGAAACTGACACCGTGCTAGCCATCAAAGTCAAGCCGCTCGGTGCCTTGGACCCCTCAGAAGCCAACATGATGCAGTATACTGCAAGAAACGGCATCCTGGCTCCGAACGTCCGTGGCGTCTATGACATTGTGACAGCAAAGCCCATTGCCCGGGTGCTTGTAAGCGAACGGGTTCCCGGTGCGCCTTTGGCTGATGTCTGGCTGGACATGAACGATGCTGAGAAACCCAACGTCGAAGACCATCTCCGCACGCAACTTGCTCGCATGCGCGCCTGTACGCAACTGTTTGTTGGGCGAATTGGGCGCCAGCATACACGCAATGTTTTTGATCGCCTGCATCAGACAAGCTGTGGGCCGTTTGCCGACGAAAAGGCATTTGACAAGTGGTGTTTAGCCCGTCTCGCCGGCGGCCCTTTCGTTCGCTGGAAATGGCGGCGTTTCTTGGAGCGAGAACGACGTGATTCTCCTGTTTTTTTGGTACTGGCACGCGGCGATCTAACACCACGAAATATCCTGGTGCAGGGTGGCATAATCACGCGCATCGTGGACTGGGAAAGAAGCGGATTTTCCCCCTGAGTACGCCGAATATGCGTTCGCTATAACACTGTTTCCTTCACACGAGTAAAGGTGGATTTCAGTTTTGCAGGATATCTTACAACCCTGTTCAAAGTCGAGACTCGAATTCACGCGGTTAGTGGAGGATAGAGGCGGCTTCTGATCAAGCCCCCACCCCCATGAACCCTCCATGATCCGCACCGGCCGGTGGACAGTCACTGAGGCATGCAGAAAAGCCAGGGAATCTCTCTGTCATTCAAGTACATACAGGGAACCACTATGTACTCCACAACATTAGGTAGCCAGCGCAGCTTCCCCATTATCATCATCCGAGCAGTGCAAGCCTGCCCCCTTTTCTCATCCGACTATCCCGTGATCCCAGATCGCGTGTGTCTTTCTCTCTCTCCGCCAAATATGCCCCTCAGGCTCTCATCTCAAACAAATTGCGAAATCATGAATGTTGCTACGCCAGCCCCCTGTCGGCTTAAGCGGTAGAGGCGTCAAACTGCAGGGCAGTCGAAGCCTGGCCGGCCGCCTCCTTGTCGGCGTTGATGTTGTTCTGCAGCTTCTTCTCCTCCTCCTCGAGCTTGGCGGCGACGTCCTGGCCCTGCGCGGCCTGCGCCTGCAGCTTGAGCTTGGTGGCCGTGAGCTTGAGGATCTTGTTCTTGGTCTTGCCGTTGGCGAGGGCCTGGGCCTCGTCGCCCGTGGCAGCCTCGATGGCCGGGTTGAAGGCCTCCTTCTCGGCCTGGTTGCAGATCTGGTTGACGCTGTTGAGGAAGTCGAGATCCGCCTTGGCAACGGTCGAGAGGTCGGCGGGCAGGCCGGCGAGGGCGTCGAGGGCCTCCTGCTCGCCGTTGCCGGCGACGCCACCGCTGATGGAGATGGCGTCGTAGGTGGTCGTCGAGAAGACGGTAGCCTGGCGCCTGGCGAGGGGGCTGGCGGCGGCGAGGGCAGCGAAGCCGACGGTGATCATGGAGAACTTCATGTTGACGGTGGGTTGGGTGGTTGTTGTTTGGGGTTTAAGAGATTTGGCTTGGTAGGCTGATGAGCGAGAGAAGACTGAAATGCTTCAAGGATAGGTTTGTTTTGCAAAGGTGGATGAAAAAGAGAGTCGCTGACCCGAATAAAGAGAATGGTAAAAGTAGTACTTTGAAGAGATTCGAGCAGCACAGCTGTCAAGGAATGGAAGTTGAAGTGAGAAGATGATGGTGGTGAGGATGGAGAGACAAGAACAACACTTGATGGGAGGCATTCACCAAGTCTTAAATATCCAGACGATCCGGTCGATCCTCATAACTGTACCTTGAGCCTTGAATAGCAATGCCTCACCTCCATCACGCAATCCATGTCAATGTCACGCTCATCGGACGACAGGCCTGGCGGGACTTCACACAATCTTCCTCTGGCGTCCGAGAGCCTCACCCTGACGTTGCAGCAGCGCCTGGCACTACACCACGTTGAGCTTCAGCAGCGAGACGATGTCCCCATTTGGGGTTGACAGACTCCAGGCCCATGCGGCTCTTGGAGACCCTGGCCAGGAGGGGGCCCACCATCAAACGGTGCGTTGGGTGCTGAGACGAGGTCGAGTCCAAAAACAGGTAGCGAGCTTCGATCTCCCGGCCGAGATGGGCGGCTTTCTACTCCTCGCCCGATTCGGCGAGGCCGTTGAATGGTGGACTTTTACAGGTTGCTAGGGCCAGCCTCCTGGGGGTTTCATGATGTGAAGGCAGATCAGACGGATCAGAAGCAGGCCGGGTGGTGTCTCGTCGCAAAATAGCTCGCTAACCCCTGCCAGGAAAGGTCTGCTGGCATACTGCGACGTTAGGATCTGGGTCGATGAGATGCGGGCACATCAGACGGATGGCTCGCAGGCCGAGCGGGTTTATGCGATGAGCCAAAGGTCGAATTGATGGTGCGGCACATCATGGAAATCAATAATGATCTGGTGATCGCAAAGTCGATCGACCATGGAGTGAGTGGGTTTGGATCGCAGTGAAGGAACACTGTCGATGCACACACAGCACCATCACCACTGTTCGTTTCACAAGACGCCCCAACGACATACCTATGTAGGTACCTTCAGCACGCTACTTCAGTGCGAGGGATGTTATCTCGGGATCAAATCCGGCCAAGCTTTGCCAACATTAGCGCCCGCTGCTCACTCTAAACCCTCCGGTTCTTGGGACAGATGACGGACACGGGCGGAGAGCCGAAATTGACAAAAGGCCGCCCATCATCAGAATACAGAGAGCCTCCTGTTGTTTCACTACCCCCGACATTGGCCCAGCCCCCAGCCAAAACATGAGCATACCCAACCTCTCTCCACCTGGAAAAGACCCTCCTCCTGACCCCGTCTCCTCCCCCCTCAGCCCCTGAAGCCTCTGCGACGCTTCACAATACAATGTGTGTCAACCCCGTTTGGATTTCGGGCTCGGGGCAATGGGCGCGCCGCGTGCTCGTCATGGGTCGGGGGCTCAACACCAGTTCCCATGTTGCCCTGCCAAAACACCAGCACGGCACTAAAAGCTGTTCTTGGCCCTGGTGAATTGAGTTTCTCAGATCACAGACGAACCAAATTGCTGGGCCATCGTCACATCACCTCGTCTCACCTGGTTAAAGCTGCCAGCTCGTCTTCGCCGTCCCACCAACAATACCACCCGACTGGATCGGCTTGATGTCCTTTAAGCGCCATGTCGAATAATCTCATTGGCATTCATCTCATCGTAGCTCATAATACAAAGTCGGTCTCATCCCAATTACAGTCCTCACAACACAAACGCGATAAGCCCCACGAGACCCCCCATGACCCCCATCACGATCCCTAGCTCTGCCCTCAGCGACCCAGCTCCTGAACACCCATTTTTGCCGTTCTTCGTTGAGCTGCCCCCGTTGCTGCTGCTACTGTCACTATCGCTGCTTCCGCCGCCACCATTACTCCCGCTCTTGCCCGATGCTCTCTTGCAAATTCCGTTGCTATCGCTCGTGGCCGACGGCGCTGACGGTGTTGTTGTCTTCTTCCCGCCTGAGAGCTTTTCCGCGCCAGATACGATAGTGATGGCCGTGAATGAACCTTCCCCTGTCGCAGTCGATGTTGCTTGGGCGTTGATGTCACACACGTCGCCATCGTCAGCGTCGCAAGTGAAAGTCTCCGATCTGGTCCGTCAGTAACGTCTTCCAATCCCGACTCAGGCCTTCGAAGCAGTTGAGCAAGAAGAGAACTTACCCGAATTGGATCTTGACAGTCTCGGGCCCCTGCGTCAGGGTCACGCCCCGAAAATCTCCGCAGCTGGACGGATACGGCGACTTGAACACCGATGTGCACGCGAGCAAATACTCAGTCGAGCTCTTCTCCGGGACTGCCGTGATGACGGACGCATAGATGTTATCACCGGCTCTAGTCGTGCGCGAAGGCAGCCAGACGGACGTCTTTGATGTGGCAGCTAAGGCCTCGCCCAGCACCGCCAACGTGGCCAAGATCTGTAGGGAAGGCGTCATGATCGGGTCTTGTTTGCAGTGAAGATATTGACAACCTAAGCATGCGTCATTCCGTCTCGGCGCCTCGGCGCGCATTCATATACTTCCAAATAGCCTTATATATACGCGTATGGCCTCAGTTTGTGGCGGAGGCCTCGCGCAAAGGGAAAGACACCGCCGTGTCCCTTGTTGAGAACTCAGCCCTGACGAGCAGCGGCACAGCACCTGCGGAGATTTGGTGGCGGTAGCTCATTGGTGGTGCGAATGCAGTGCATCTCGCCTGCATAGCCCCCTGGTCAATCCTGGGGGCTTTGACGGATGAAGAACAGCCATATACGTCAAGCTGGAGGTGGTCTGCCTAATCTGGTCTCAATTCGAGTGACAATGTCGTCAGTGCTGGCAACCCCAGCCTGATTGCGCGGAAATCTTGCTCGTAGCTGCGATGATCTCCTCGACACAACCTCTGACTGACAAGAACCTACCGTCATTTTCGACTACGGAATCTCGATGCAGGTGAGACTTTGCCGCTTCACAGATCCGCCATAATTTGGGCACAGAAAACTCACTGTTCGATCGCCGCCATGGCCGAAGTCGTCGGCCTCGTCGTCGGCCTCGTCGCTCTGGTGCCGCAATTGACGGCCGGCGTGAAGATGCTCCGCCAGATTCGCAACGCAGACGACCGCTTCCCTGTTGAAATAGACAGGCTTGCATGCGATCTCGAACTGCTGGTCACGTTCGTCGAGGCGCTGGAAGCCACGCCTGGCGTCACCGAGCCGGTTTTCAAGCGATGCTGCGAGTGCTGCACGCAGATTGCCCAAGGCCTTGACAAGGTCAGGGGCATGGTCTCTTTGGTGACGACGGGTAGCAAAAGCAAAAGAGTCATTAGGAAGATCACGGGCTTGCCGGGCTTGCGGACCGCCGTCGAGGCTCTGCAGCAGAATGTGACTAGAGCACAAATGACCATGATGATGTACGTCAAGTCCCGCAGCGGACGATCAACAGTGCGATCGCAACGCTGAAGAGGTTGTAGGACATCTCACTTGCCATTACTCGCCGGCATGAGCCGGCTTAGTCTTGCGCCAATGTTACCAACACCTGTGCCTTCGCCAGTCATTGAGGACTCACTGGTGTCCTCATCCACACAAACGCTGGACAAGATAACTACGCTGGACGCAGTGATGGGCCATGTAAACTTGGCGAATAGGCCTCAGCATCCGAGATGTGGCAGTGGCTCGACGAAGCATTGTCCTTGTTCCTGTCACCGAACGTCCAAGGTTTCTCGGCGCTATTGGGCGTTCGAGTACATCGCTTCCCCTACACCCTGTGACTATTCCAAGTGCCAGTCCACCGTCTACGGCGCCAGCTTTAGAGTCGCATTGACTCAAGTTGGCCTTCACTGGTCGGTCAATTTTCAAGCATACATCGCTCAGGAAGCAGGCAGCTTCACATTGCAACCAAGTCTTGTGCTGGAGAGAACTGTTCCGTACAATTCTCCAGGGTTTGATTTACTAAGAAGGTGTAGTAGATACGGTTCGGTGTCGCCCGAAGTTGCTCAGCAGCAGCTCCTCAAAATGGCACGAACCGATAGCTCGTTTAGAAATCACGTCAATCCATCAGGCTGGTCGTATCTTGAGGCTAGTAACATGTCACTACAAGTTACTAGATAGCTCTGCTGAACTATCAAAACAGGCTCTTTTGTATCTCGAATGGTCTCCGAGATTGCATGAACAACAAATCACCATGATTAAGTTTTTCTTCACGGAACTAAACATTACGAAAGGCTTATATTCTCCACGGTTAGTCTCGGATCGTCTCGGGGGCAGTTGTTGTCGTATGGCGGCTTGAAACCTGACGTTGATAACGTAGCTTGCTGCCGCGACTGGCCAACTTCAGCAGACACAATTCTCGTAGCAACTTGCTCAAGTGTCTGATCACCCTCGGCTTTGATCCCTCGGAGAGTCCCGCACCAGCCGCTCGATTTTGGCCTCGGCCGTCCTTAGTCAAGATTGGAGGGAAGCATGCAGGAGCTGATCCATTTTCCCTCGAGCATCTCGCCATTCTTTGCCGCCTGAGCCCCGGTGAGTCCCTATCGGTTTGATCGCAGCCCGATTCTGACGTGTTGTGCTATAGGCTTCGCCGAGATGACGCCCCTCCACGAGGCTGTCCTTCTCGGCGCGGACGGGCTTGTCGAGACAAGGACCTCTCGGTCACCCGCTGATGAACGGAACTTCCTTGGCCAGACGCCTTTGCATCTAGCTCTCTCGAGCACCAGACATATGTCAGCGCTCATAAGCTCGGGACATGATGTCAACGCCCTCGATCGGTTGGGCATGACTCCCCTCATGTATGCTGGCATTATGGGACTTGTCGACGCTGTCCTTTGGCTCCTCGACCGTGGAGCGGATGCTTCACTTCGGGATACCAAGCACAAAAAGCTTTTCATTGATTTTGCAGCTTCTCGCAACAACTGGGACGTTATCATGGCCGCTCTTTCAAAATTGGAAACACGGTCAGACAACGACACTGACTGGACCTGGGCGCGACACGCAACTATTCTGCGTCATGTGGAGTTTCCGGATCACACAAGGCTGCGCCTAGGTTTCAAAGACTTCCTCGCGAAGTGCGACACACCAAACTTCATCTTCGACCACAATGGCCGTCGCGGAAACACGTTGATGCACTTTGTGATCACTCCCGAAGAGGTGCAGACATTGCTAGATCAAGGTTTCACACGTGTAAACCAAGCAAACTCAGATGGCCATACCCCTTTCATGCGGTCATTGAGAAGGCACCGTGAGCTGCCCACAATTCTGCCGATCCTGAACGCCGGAACGGACGTTCACCACCGAGACAATAACGGCCACACGGCGCTCTGGTACGCCTTGTACATGGGTACATTCCAAATGGCCAATTGTAGCCATGACAACGGCTGGCGGACACTTCACCATCTTCTCCAGTGCGGCATCGATGCGCTTTCTCTGGACAATTGTGTATGCCCGTGTTCGTCAAACGGATGTTTTCCATCCAGCATTCTACACTGGTCATCGTTATATTATTCACAACCGACTGATGTCCCGTGGCCGCTATTTGAATGGCTCATCATTGTGTTGGAGTATCGTGGTTCGGAAGAAGCGAAGACGATTCTGCTGTCCTACATCAGGAGGGCCAAGCACGATGAGTTGGGCTTGACTCACCTCTGCTGCACAAGATTTCCGGGCAACCCCCCGATGGATGGTCATGTGCCGCCCCTGCCAAGCGACGATGTTGACGATATCCTCACTGAGGAGGAAGAGCTCATCGATCTAATGGAACAGGAAATGGAGGAAGCGAAGGCGTTGAAGTACGATCAACTCAGAAAAATATGGTTCACCCAAGTGAAAGAACGCCTTGATGCAGCTCGAGCAGACGAAGTCTGGGCAAAGCCTGGAAAGATAAAAGAGCAACCACCAGTATGTACAGGTCACGATTTAAGGGGGTTTCACAGCGATACTAACGCTGCAGAAGACCCGCTATCACTACCTCAACCCCATTGGGAAGCAGGTTGCTGCGTATAAAGGATGGATAGACTTTGAATTCGAGTGTCGTAAAAAGTACCTGGAAGACGATCCTATAGGAAACAGTTGGTACGATCAAAGGATCTCCCATCTTCGACATCTAGTCCAAGTCATGGGTGTGAAGCCTGAAGAAATGTCGGAGCATTGGTATGGGCTCCCTAACAAAGGTGCAGAAGAGCTGTTCTAGCTGGAGACGCCCTCAACATTCTTCTGATAGCCTTTCCTGTATAGGGCTGGCATGGGAGCACAGATTGGAGCGGCGCTCGCAGAACATCTCAAAGGGGAAAGGGGCGAGTTGATACGCGCCTTGAAGAAAGGGTATTGCGCAAGTTGAAGGGACGACGTGTCCAGATATCTACCGGCCAGCAAACCGAGGACCCTCTACAGAGCACCGCCAAGAAGTCTCACAATCCGCATCGCGGCCTTGACCTTCCACCCAACCTGCCTCTCCTCTGTCTCAAAGTCTTCCCTCGTCGTAAAGCTCGCATACTCCTGCAGCCAGGCCTGCTCCTCACCAAGCCTCCTCTTCAGGTCCTGATCTATTGTGACAACCAAAGCGCCCGCCTCGAGGTCATGTGTGTAGCTGCGGTTCGTATAATTGGAGCTGCCGATCGATGTGACGCAAGGTGTCTCTTCCCCAGGCAGCGTCACCCAGATGCCCTTGGCGTGGTAACTCCATCCGCCAGGCGTGCCGACGACGCCGCGCCGCCACTCCTTGAGCTTGATCGAGTCTTCCGTGCCAGCGGAGTGCACAGCGTGCGCAAACTGGCGCAGGTAGTACGTGTATGCGCCTGGCAAGAGACCAGCGACGCCAGGGGCATTGAAGAAGCCGTTGGCCTCCGGTGCGGCGGTGATGACGACGTTTTGCCCTTCGGAGCTATGGGCCGCAATGAGGGCGGCCTGAAGTGACCGGCTCGGGTTGAAGTAGCCGGCTGTGAACGTCCACGTTGTCTTCTCTTGGCGCATAAAGTTCAAAAGGGACCTGATAACCGGTTGGTCTGTCGACGCCCCTGGCTGGAGAAGTTGTGCCATTTGCGCCGTCATGTATACTCGCGTGTCCTTGCTCTCGTCATGGCTTGGTGTTTTCTTAGGCGATATAAGGCGGGCAAGCGTGGATGATGTTGTCTCGATAAACTTCTCCGGGCTGTCCAGGGGGGATGGCGCCGCATTGGTGACTGGCCACGCCAATTCGAACCCAGCTCGTTCCCTCGTGGGCTCGACAAGAAAGCTGAAGGATGACACGGTACGGTGTATGTCGTAAAAGTAATCAGTAACGGCTTTGGAGGAGAACAGGTGGTATCGGTCCTGGCGGTTCGTGAAGTAGTCGTTCGACAAATTGGCTCTAGGCAGCGTCAGCAAGCGGTTGTTGTACACCCGCTATATCAATAACACATACCCAGACAATATAATCTCGTCATCGACACCGTATAGCTTCATGTGCTGAAGTCCCCAACCCTCGTTGATCCGCCGAGGCATGAGCTTCTTTCGCCAGCCCGTCAGGTTGGGAGTATGGTACATTCGGATCTCGACCCTGTCAGGACCGAACTCGGTGACAAGGGGAGCCAGAAGCGAGGCGCATGACTGTTTGGGGGCCTCGCGCGTACCACGGAGGGCATCGGTGAGGATGTGCAGCTTGAGTTCGGGGTTCTTGCGCAGTGCCTCTTGTATCGTTGCGATCTGCCGTCGTTCAGCAAATCTTCAGCCGCAGGTTCGGGACAATTTCGTTTTTTCCTACCAGCTCTCTCTCTGTCTTGCCAATGTATAACGTCGACAGGAATATCCGGTTCTTCGCATTTCGTATCCTTCCCTGTCCAGTCTTCTGTTAGCCGTTGCGTCGAGGTTCCGGCAGCCACCTACGCACCTTGAGCGTCTCGTAGAAGTCAGCAGGCTCCCGAATGATCTCGATCTGCGAGCCATTGATGTCGAAGCTCGGCGCAAGCTCGTCCAGCTTGTTCATGAACGAAACAAGCGGTCCCCCGAACGGGCTGCTGGACACCGGTGCCGCAGCCGCAGGCGTCGAGTAGGCGCGTGTCTGTGGGCTCGCATACGAAGGCCTCGCCCTCACGACGGCAGCCCTCACCTGTGACGCGCACCGCGGAGTACTCCGGACAAACATGATGGCAAACAGTTGCTGACACTTAAAGGAAAGAAAGACGACAGTTGCCAATTCGGCAAACGCGACAACGGTGAGCCTCTTCTCCCCAACACTTCGCGGTTAGACATGGGTCCCTCACACACCCACCCCTGCCCTTTGGCCTTTGACCGTGGGGAAGGCCTCTGTAAAACGCGCCCGCTAATTGGCCCGAGCTGTCTTATGTAATCGTCCAGCACCCGGGCATCATCGCCAACCTCGACTTCGACCTTCAATTCCCGGACAAACCACCCTCCACCACGTATCGCACCCCCCTCCAACCCACCAACACGGTCAATTGACCCCCGCCGCCGCCATGTCGACCATCACCCGTACCGTGTCGAACCTCCGCAAGGTCGGCATCAAGGTGCGCCGCATCCCATCCCGACTTGTTCCCTCAGCGAACGACAACTGACGAGATGTGAAAATCACAGGACTACTTCCGACAGATGCTCTACATCGGCGACACCAAGGCCGGCCGCCTCGTCGGTACCGACCGCGCCGGCAACAAGTTCTACGAGGACATGGACGAGCTTCCCCGTACGTTGTGAACCACCTCCCCAGATCACCTAGCCCCGATCCGAACGCGACCGCAAGCGCATCACCCTCCCGCCCTATGCCGGCGAGAGCAGCAAGAGATCTGCTAGGGCCCAAGGGAGGAAGAGAGCCAGAGGAACCAAGAGAAGAACGCAAGGCAGAGGGACAGACGGCTGACACGGCACAGTTCGTACCCGCTGGGTCGACTACAAGAAGCACGACTACGACGCCGCCACCATTGAGCCCGGCTGGCACGCCTGGATGTCCTACATGATCGACAAGCCGCCCGCCGAGGACCCCCTCATCCGCGCTGGTCTACGCAAGTTCGAGAAGCCGCACCCGATTCCCAACTACACTGCCACGCGCGGCGCCTTTGTGACGTACAACACGTGAGTGGAACGCCGCCGCCGCTTCGAGTTGAGGCAGCATGAGTGAGTGATTGCTGACTGGTTGCAGGACGAAGCCTAAAGTGAGGACGTGGGAGCCCAAGGCCATTGCAAGGCAGTGAGCGGTTTTCTGGCGCAGAAAGGGTGTATATAAACATTCGTGGATACGGATGAATCGAATTCCTTTTGTTCTTCACCTTCGAAGCTACTCGCGATGGTGATGTGATTTCATAAGCGACTACTCAAAACAGCACAGTATATTGACAGCAGTTTGCGATATCCAAGGAGGGGCTACTGAAATATTCCTTCGAGAAAGCGCATCAACGAAGATGCAGTATGAACGACTTGACCACATGCGCTTCAGAATTGGCATAACGAGCAAAGAAATCGAATCATGGCAAGCGAGAAGAGAAACGGAAACGGCAAAGAAATGACCGCCAAAATGCAGCAGCTCTACAACCCGGAATAATGCGCAGCTCTAACGCTATGCGTCTAGCATTCGATGCGCCTGAAAATGCGTCCCACATTGGTCGGCAATTTGGTAGCAACACATCTAGACACGCGACTCGACCGCTGCTTTGATGGCTGCGCACCGTTAGGATCTCTCTGGTCGGACAATTGGGGGGTGGCTTACCGTCACAACTGGTCTTGGCGTCTCCGAAGAGCATACGGGTGCCCTCCATGTAGAACATGGGATTCGGCACATCAGCTGTATTCCTGTCAGTATGGAATACTCTACGTGTTTGACAAACTCACCATAACCACTGGCCATGCCGCGTTTCATCACAATGACCTGCTTGCTCTTCCAAGCCTGCAGGACAGGCATGCCCGCGATGGGGCTGCCCGGCTCCAGGGCAATTGGGTTGACGGTGTCATTGGCGCCAATGACGAGGACAACATCCGTCTCACCAAAATCGTCGTTGATCTCGTCCATCTCCAGCACAATATCGTACGGTACGCTCGCTTCAGCGAGCAAGACGTTGCATTGACCAGGCATTCGTCCTGCCACAGGGTGAATGGCGAAACGTACATTGATGCCCTTTTTGCGAAGCATTTCGGTGATCTCGCTGATGGCGTACTGAGCCTTGGCGACTGCCATTCCGTACCCAACTACAATGATGACGTTTTCGGCGTTGACAAGAGCCTCGGCCGTGTCGTCGACTGAGGTCTGCGTGATGGCGCCTTCAATCTTGTACTCGCTTGCAGGCGCTGAAGCAATACCACCGAAAAGCACATTGGTCAAAGATCGGTTCATGGCCACGCACATGATGTACGATAGAATGGAGCCTGAAACGCCAATCAACGCACCGACAGTCGTAAGCAGCGAGTTATCGAGCATGAATCCCTCGGCTACCAGAGCAAAGCCTGAATAGGCGTTCAGTACTGTAATGATGACTGGCATGTCAGCACCGCCAACTGCTGCTGTCGTCGTGTAGCCCTTGATGAACGATAGCAGAGTGTTAGCGCCAAGAGCTGCTGCCGCGATCATGGGAGATCCAGGCGCCATTGTTATGAAGGCACCCATGGTGGCGACGTTGGTGGCGAGCATGCCAGAGTTGAGAAGATGGCGTCCGGGAAGCATGAGAGGCTTGGACGACATCTTACCAGCTAGCTTCATGAAGGCCACAATAGACCCTGTGAAGGTGATACCACCGATAAGCACGCCGAGGTAACCAGTGACGAGATGAAGTGTGGAGATGTCGGCTTCGATATGGCCCATGATGCTGCCGATAGATGTCAGGACAGCTGCAAGGCCAACAACTGAATGAAGAGCGGCGACGGTCTGGGGGAGGCCGGTAGGCGTAATCCGCTTGCCAATCAAGAAGCCAGCAAGACCTCCAATAGCTGCCAGACCACCGAACTGGGCCAAGACGTCAGGCGAAAACCCAACAGCGTACAATGACGCCAGGATACCCGATCCCACACCGAGTATGCCCAGTATGTTGCCCATGCGAGCTGTTGCCTGGGAGGCAAGACAGGATAGCGAGCTGATGCACAAAACAGAGCTGACCATGTAGCCGGCCTGAACTAGACCTGCAGCTCCAGTTGCGGCAGCCGCGACAAAGCCACCGCCAAAGACAGCGGCAGGCACAGCATACAGCCAAGGATACTCGGGAGGATCTGTTGGTCGCTTGAACATGTCCAGCATTCGCTTCGTGATAACGAAGCCGCCCGAGATGTTGACGAAAGCTAGCAGGACAGACAGAGCACCAAACACCTGGGGGATGGTCTGTGGGAAGATGCCGCCGCCCAGCACGAAAAGGCCACCAACGCCAACCATGCCTGCGACCGGTGTCAGCCTTTGTCATTTGCGTAATAGAGACACACCTTACCTGATATGGCATTGGTGACACTCATCAGCGGCGAGTGCAGAGCCGGAGCCACGCCCCATACAACACGATAGCCGATAAGTGAGGCGAGCGAGAAGGTGAACAGGTTGCTCATGAAGAGTGGGCCTGTGACAGTACCAAGAGCCAGCGCAGTTCCCATGCCAGCAGTCACAGTAGCAACCTCTCTGGAAGTCTTCTGGAAGGGCGTCACTGCAACGATCTCGGCCTCCTTCGTGGGCGAGGCAGCTTGAGCCGGTGCTGGGGGAGGAGCCGGCCTGGGAGGTGGCGGTAAAACCTCTCCTTTCTGGGTGACAATCGCACCGCGAACAACTTCATCAGAAAGATCGATTCCAAATTCCTTATCTTTTGGCGCCATCGAGAGCAAGAACTTGGTAATGTTGTTCGAATACAGCGTAGACGATTGGGTAGGGAGTCTCGACGGCAGGTCAGTGTAGCCTGGGAAAAATTAGCAGTCGTGACGAGGTAAGCCGCTTGTTCGTTAGCCGACATACCAATGATCTTGACATCCTTGTAGACAGTCAGCTCTCCGGGCTTCGTCTTTTCACAGTTACCTCCGGCCTCGGCAGCGAGATCGACCACAACAGATCCAGGTTTCATCAGCTCAAGCATAGATTTGAGGATGAGCTTGGGGGCAGGCTTCCCGGGAATCAGGGCAGTAGTAATGATGATGTCGACCTCACGAGCCTGTTCGTGGAACAGCTTCATTTCAGCCTCGATAAATTCCTTGGACATCTCCTTGGCATAGCCACCAGCGCCAGAGCCATCTTCCTTAAACTCGACCTCGATGAATTCCGCACCAAGTGACTGGACTTGCTCGCGAGCAGCCGGTCGAGTATCAAAGCCTCGGACGACGGCACCGAGTCGCCTGGCAGTTGCAATGGCACTGAGGCCAGCGACACCCGCGCCAATGACGAGTACCTTGCAGGGTGGGATCTTGCCAGCGGCGGTGACCTGACCAGTCAGGAACCGGCCAAAGTTGTTCGAAGCCTCCAAAACGGCTTTGTAGCCAGCAATGTTGGCCATTGAGCTCAGCGCGTCGAAGACTTGGGCACGGGAGATTCGAGGAATAAGATCCATAGCGAACGCTGTCGCTTTCTGGGCAGCGAGCTTTTCGACAATGGGCTTGTTTTGTGCGGGCTGCAAGAATGAGATGACAGTTTGCGACGGCTTCATGACCTCGATCTCGGCAGGAATGGGGCTTCGGACTTTGAGAACAATGTCAGCACCCGTCCAGACGTCATTGGCCGAGTCGACGAGAGTTGCACCAGCTTCGCGGTAGACATCATCGAGGAAATCGGCCTCGGCGCCCGCGCCGCGCTCGACAAGTACCTTGGAGAAGCCCTTCTTGAGGAGCAAAGCAACGTTCTGAGGAGAGAGCGCGACGCGGCGTTCGTTCAAAAAAATCTCTTTGGGGACGCCGACGGTGAGTTGACTGTACGGAACGGAGTGAGCGACTGGCAGCTCAGGTTCGGCTGCCTGTCCAGGGGCAGGCGTGCCTGTCACGACAGAAGCATGGCGGACGAGTTGGAGAGACTTCGTGTGGGCTGGAACGATAGCGTTTGTGCGGCTCGGTCGCAAAGTGCTCTGCCAGCGCGTCGGATGGGTGCTATGGATGCTGGTAGATCGAGGCGTGGGCAAACTCGCATCTGTAGCGAGAACATCAGTACAAAAGCGGACACCAAGTCAAGCGCGAAAGCAGTGTTCGCCGGCCTACCCGTGACATTGGGCCATGATCGCGAGGCGAAAATGCCAGTGGCAGACGAAGTACAGACGACATGGGCCGTTGCCGGCCGTAGAAGGGCGAGCGATATCATGGTGGACTACAAAGATCAGGCGTCCAGGCTGAGGAAGCCAGAGTGACGAGCTGAGACGGAGGCGTTCATGTGTGGTTCATGCAATTTGTTGTCAATGAGCACGGAAATCGATGACACCTAGCGACTGAGGAGGGGCTGAAAGGAGACGGGGAAGAGAAAGAAGGAAAGAAGGAGTCTAGGACGAGATTGAGTTCGAGTTCGCACGAGGGAGAGCTCCTCGTCATCCGAGTGGCAGATCTATTACCCCTCAAGCCAAGGACAAGGAGTCAAGGAGGGGTTTGTGCCTGGGCTGCCGCGCGTGGCAGAGGGACGTTTTGAAGCTCAAAGGTGACGGCGTCGGGGCCGCTGAAGCGCGATTGGACGGATCATGTGGCAGAAGATGTGCCGGGGGAGCAAAAGGGGGATCGACCGTTGGAGAAGGATGCAGCTGGCGCGGCTGGAATGGGATGGTGTTTGGAGGAGAGTGGCCCTGGATGAAAGGAAGGGAGGGTTGGCTGCCTGCCTGAGATACTTGATGTATACCGAGAGACATTCTTGCCCTGAGGATACAACCATTGGCACAGGCGTCACTGGTCACCTGTGCCGCGCCCACCGCGACCGAGCTCCCCGGGAAGGAAGTGCAGCAGGTGGGGAAACGCCCTTGGCGCTGCGCTGTGGATGTGCGGGGTTAGGCAGGGATGGGCAAGAGACAGTCCTGTGGGTGTGGGTGTGGGGGGAAAGAGCACCTTTGATGCTGCTGCTGCCTTCCATTCTCAGGTCCGCCTGCCTATTGCTCCGGGGAATCCTGCTGCGAGGTCGCATCCAGACTCACCTTCCCATATGCCCTGTGCCGCACCATGTCTGAGGAGCAGTGAGCAAACCTGCTGTGGCACGTCGAGAGGCATGCCGATGATGCAGCGCAAGACGTTCACCTGCAGCGGCGGCATGCGATGTCACCTCAACAGTGGTGGAAAGATCCTTTCGGCCGGCAATGAAGACCAAGGTGCAGGAACTCCTCTGTACACAGGCCATCACGGTGTTGAGTTTGTACAATGAAGCACATTGTCCAGCCACCTTCGAATTACGGACGCTACTTTTCGCAGGGGCACAGAATATGGCATTGTAACGCCATACGAGTGAGCCGCCTTTGGATCAACTTGACCTCGGCTGAATTTTGGCGGCAGATTCGACTCGAAGATCTTGAGGACTGACTGATGCGCCCATTTGGTCTGCACGGCAAATCACGCATTCGGACCAGGCTAAGACCTCCTTCATGCGCAAATCTCAGAGAGTTAGACGAGACAGGCGTCGTCTTAATAAATGTGCGTTTGGATATGTTGTGCCTGCATCCCGTACTTGGGATTACAAGTATCTGGCTTGCTGTCTGGTAACATTATTCGGTACGTGACAGGGCACTCTACCACCCCAGTTTCTTTTAGGCAGCGTACGTGACATTGCGGTTTTCAGCGGGATTTTATTTTGGACGGAATACTTCTGCGTCATTCAAATCATGAATTATGAATTTTTGTAGAATAAGAAACTCCGTCTGCAGATTCCCTATTGAATACCCTATTGCAAGCTTTGAGACGGAACTGGATCCTACGTTGATTACGAACTGAAGCACACCACACTCAGAAAAATGACAAAGATGGTGCTAAATTCTCACACAAAACCTCAAAATATCAAATCACCATCATGTCCATGACAGTCTCACGATGGAAGCAGTTGCTGCAACACCCGGACGGGACAAAGCAACCTCGGGACACCGAGAGTTGACCGATCTTTGAATGTCCGAGTCCACTCGGGGAATTTGATTTCGCCCCATTCCCATTTGCCAACCAGGCCCACTTCCCCCTTCACCGAGCTCATCTCGGTCAAGGCATGCACAGCGGACACCCTGGAAAAACACTTTTCGCGCAGCTCCGCCGAGAAACCACAGGCCAATCGACCCAAGCTCAATCGAACCTCGCCATCATACCCGCGACCAACGAACGCACGAAACCACCCACCCCGACCGCAGCCGGCGACACTCGCGCCCTCCCAATCGAGATCCGATCCCCTCCAGCTCGCCGCCTCCGAGTCAACACATAACACGCATACAAAGGCCCATCATGGTCTCCCGCATCCTCTTCTGGTCCGGCTTCGGTGCGTCACAATAACCCAAACTCCTCCAACACGCCCTGTCACCTTTCGCTGGATCCTGCGGCCCACGCCCCCCCCCCCC